AGCCCCTTACAATACCACCAGCCATGTGGAAATCAAACATGGATCATAGATACAGGCTCTCGTACCTCAAACCACCAATCACGACATATAACTCGCCATGTAACTGGACGGTAAAACCCACAACGACACAACTTATGCACAAAATGCATTTTAGCAATTTTAGAACTTACCTCACGATGCTGAGGATTTACTCAAAAATTAAATTCATGACAGGACAACCAAAACCACGTTTAGAAAATCTGTAAAGAGATAAGGTTGAACCAAAAGAGTAAAAATATGATGAAGATCAAACTTACCACCAAAATACCCATGAAAACTTAAAATTGATTTCTTCCCCAAATGCCAGGAACCATTAGGACTACATTCCAAATGTTAATAGAATTAAAAAGTTTAAACATTTTCGGATGACTTCAGATAAGTATGTCGATGTTTAAGCCACGAAATCTGAATCAAAAATGGTGACTTCCGATAGTCAAAAAGATGCTCTAGTTCTGCGCCGACAAGGGCAAGTACGATCAACAGAGTATCCGAAATTAGTCAGAACTAATTCGGTAGGGTGTATGTTGGGTTGCCAATAATATCGCTTTATTAAAACGTTACAACATTTTGAGAAAGTTGCATTCTTCATAAAATTTTTGGCTTATTCTAAAATGGTTAATTCTGTTCTATTCGTGCTTGATATGCTCATTACGTAATATATCTATTACGTTACTATTAATCTTAGATATCCATTACTAGAATTCTTCTTTCTAGCAGTTTTCGCAGATTAAAAATAGACTAAAACATGTAAGGCGGTGATCTTATAGTTCTCACAACTAGAAAAGACAAATTGTTAAAAGTTCATGACAGACCGTTAATAGCTGTGTTATATTAAAGTACACGAAGCGTGATAAATGGATTATGTCATTTTAAGATGTGAAATATGTCAGGAGTTAAAACTCCGTATTATTATATTGTTCTATATTACCGAGAATCTTTTTATATTAACCTTTATTTTATATTTCACTTCTGGCGTCAAGAAATAAAATCAACTGCTTTTTACGTAACTTTAGGTAGTTTTTGAAAATATATAATTATTTGATGATTGTTACCCGTCAAACAATTTCATTTATAATTATTTTTTTATTTAATATAGAACTGGTGAATCATAAATAAATAAATTATGACGAGCTAAAACATTCGTTAAACACACTATATCCATAAAGTGGTCAAAACTGTAGTGAATTTAGTGAATTATTATTTTTTATTCTCAGTTAAATTTTCCTAAACACGAAAGATAACAGAGTAAATCCGCGAGGAAAAAAATATATTATCTTATACCGAGTATTTTTATGGTGTCGCCAACATCGCAATATTTAACCGTTGTTAGAAATTGAGTTATAACGTAATATAATAGCGCAAATATCTGCAAAACTGTTGAAAATTTAGGTACACTTTAAATACAAAAAAAATCATTTTTATTTCTGCATCAAAAAAGTGTGTTGCATTTAAAAAATGAGATATAGCAACTCAAATATTGCGATGTTCGTGACGCTATAAAAATACACTGTATACGATAATTTAAATTTTCCTTCGCGGATTTATTCTGTTATCTTTGGTATTTATTTAAAAAACGTAATATCTTCATAATATGGCAACATAGGTACTAGATTCAATATACAAAAAAGAAAACCCAGAAAAGATCCAGCGAGCGGTTCTAAAAATGTAAGCGAAAAAATCTTTTATTTTTTTTTAAATTTTATATTGAAAGAATTTTAGGTTATAGTAGTAGTAGTAGTAGTTTGCGAAGAGGAAATTAATCGCTCTTCATTGGCTTGGGTCCTTTTCGTCCCATTAGCCAGCTCATTATTTAGATTCCCAATCGTCTGGTTCCATTGGCCATATTGGAAATCCGGTAATTTTAGGATATTTTGAACTTATTTACGGTAAAGAGAAAATACGTTTCTTTTTTCGAGATATACCAGCTCTGGAAATATTTGCACCTATTTAAGACACTCACCCTGCACTTGAAAAAAATATTTCTTCAACATGTACAACGACGATATTGTACATCTTTGCACCAATGGGCCACCCTGTTATGCCGCAACCGCACATGCGGCATTTGGCGATCTCCGAACGCTCTTCGCCGATTTCCTGTGTATGTGGATGGGGAATTCGCAGTTCGGCGACTCGATCGGCGACGACAACGAGCGTTCGTCTCTATGTTGTTGCTATCAGAGCCCGCATGTGTGGATGGAAAGGCGAAGTCCGATCACGAGCGCTCGGTAGTTGACGAGCGCTCTGAGTTCGCTAAATGCCGCATGTGCGGTTCCGGCATTATATGACCAATACTTGTCAAAAAACTGCACACTTAGCCTTGTTTTATTACAATTTTCATAATTTATTTATATACAGGGTGAGTTTCCTACAATGTTCTCTATGGATATCTCGGAAACTAGTGAAGATAGAGGGCCGTTTAAATGGGGAAAGAATTGCAGTTTTGTGGGGTCATAATTATGCGCCAATTAGATTTTTGAAAAAGTTCATGGTTTACTAGATATTTCGAAAAAAACAAATTTCGGCTATTTTAAAAAATATCCCTAATTCCATTAAAATCTATTTTAGACAAAAAGTTTTCAGATAAATTTGTAGACAATCACATCCTTAATCAGATTGCGTCCTGATTAAGAATGTGATATACAGGGTGAGTTTCCTACGATGTTCTCTATGGGTATCTCGGAAACTACTGGAGATAGAGAGTCGGTTAAATGGGGAAAGAATTGCAGTTTTGTGGGGTCATAAATATGCGCCTTTCAGATTTTTGAAAAAGTTCATGGCTTACTAGATATTTGGAAAAAAACAAATTTGGGCTATTTTAAAATTGTTCCTAATTCCATTATAAGCTGTTTTAGACAAAAAGTTTTCAGATAAAAGTTGTAGATAATTACATTCTTAATGAGACTGTGCCCTCCGTTTTTTTCTAGAGCCTGTCATTTTTGACATATGACACAAACAACCGGTGAATGTTTAGAGAACGGGTTTCAAGACATGTTAGAAAAGTTACATTTAGTTATAGCTAATTCTGATCTTTCTTGATTAATTTCAATTTGATTGCATGGTATTCTTATTCTATTATGATTTATAAAACTTATAAGGAGTTAGAATATATTACTAAAAGGTTCTTTACAATTTACATTACACAAACTAAAACTTAAAAAATAATATCACTGCATACACTTTAAGTTATTTTAGAAAATCCGCCATTGTTTTGAGTTGCATCTTTTTAAAACTGAATTAGTACCTATTCTCATAGAAGGACCGGTGGACTTAAACTTCTTTCGTACCGCCACTCCGAGTGCCTCTCTTAATTCACAAATTCTTTTTTAAACCTTATTGTTAACCATACCGCATAAAAAAATCTAAAATGGATAAGTCAGGTAATCGAGGAGGCCCATGCAATTGGTCCACATCTTTCTATTCCTGACTTTGCATAATTATGATGTAAATAATTTTTAACATTTCTTTCATTATGAGGTTGGGAGGTCGTAATAAAAGTCATGTTGGAACCACTCTATTGATGCGGGAGTATCTATACGCTTTTCTTCATTTGAAAAATTCATATTTACAATTTTTGTTTATTTTAATTTACAAAATTTGGATGTGACAGCTTCACATTTCTGAGAGCAAAGACGATTAAACTTGTTTCCATGGCTAACTAAGTAAAATTGTTTAAAAATGATAAGAATTGGCTATAACTCTGTAATTTTTCGAAGAAAGCATATTATAGCTTATATCGTTGAAAAGCTTAAAAAATGGCACTTTTTATGAAGTCATGGCCAACTATGGTTTCCATTTAAAAAAACATATGTTTGTGTTATATGTCAAAAATGACAGGCTTTAGAAGAAAACGGAGGGCACAGTTTCATAAAGGATGTGATTATCTACAACATTTATCTGAAAACTTTTTGTCTAAAATAGCTTATAATGGAGTTAGGGACAATTTTTAAAATAGCCAAAATTTGTTTTTTTCGAAATATCTATTAAGCCATGAACTTTTTCAAAAATCTGAAAGGCGCATATTTATGACCCCACAAAACTGCAATTCTTTCCCCATTTAACCGACTCTCTATCTCCAGTAGTTTCCGAGATACCCATAGAGAGCATCGTAGGAAACTCACCCTGTATATACTCTGCCGTGGAGTCTTATGAGTTATAGTCAATTCTTATCATTTTTAAACAATTTCACTTAGTTAGCCATAACAAGTTTAATCTTCGTTGCTCTTAGAAATGTGAAACTGTGACATCCAAACTTTGTAAATTTATAAGTTATAAATCATAACAGAATAAGAATACCATACCAACTAAGTGAAATTAGGCAAGAAAGATAAGAATTGGCTATAACTCAGTTATTTTTCGAAAAAAAAACATATTATAGCTTATATCGCTGAAAAGCTTAAGAAATTAAGCTTCTTATAAATCCATGGCCAACTATGGCTTCCATTTAAAAAAAAACATATGTTTGTGTCATATTTCAAAAATGACAGTGTTCAGACAAAATCGGAGAACACAAACTCATTAGGGATGTAATTATCTATAACTTTTATCTGAAAACTTTTTGTCTAAAATAGATTATAATGGAATCAGGGACAATTTTTAAAATAGTTTTTTTTCGAAATATTTAGTAAGCCATGAACTTTTTGAAAAATCTGAAAGGCGCATATTTATGACCCCACAAAACTGCAATTCTTTTCCCATTTAATCGATTCTCTATCTTCACTAGTTTCCGAGATACCCATAGAGAACATCGTAGGAAACTCACCCTGTATAGAAAGAATAATTTTTAATTAAAAATCGAATTATTTAATGCTAATAACGCGTACAACGGTTAACGTTACCTTAAAGTTATTATTCCAACGCACTGAATGATCTCCTGATGTATACTAACAACTTTTCAGAGGGGATGAAGAAATTTATATGTTATATATAAAAGGTATATTATATTAAATTAAATTTTTTTTCAGTCCTTCGGCTTGTTTCTCGCCTACGAGACTCGATCGCTCAAAGTGAAGCAGATAAACGACTCGCAATACGTGGCGCTGACCATCTACAACGTGGTGATAATGTGCCTCATAACCGTTCCAGTTTCGCTGGTCATAACCAGCCAGCAGGACGCCAGCTTTGCCTTCGTCTCCATCGCAATCACGTTCTGCTGCTTCCTCTGTATGGCCCTCATTTTTTTGCCCAAGGTGAGACACATTTTTACGCCTTTGGTAAGCTGTTTTAATAATAAGTAGAGTGATTTTTATTTTGTCCCACTTTTAGCAGGTTTTAACTTTTTACTTTCTGGTTTATTTTCTTCTAAGGTTTTTAGCATTAAACAAGTTTATCTTTAAAAAATGATGGAAATGAGGACATATACATAAATATTTTTAATTTTATGTAATATCATTTAGTATCACTACTTTCCCACAGCTAATAAACTTGTTTAATACTCGCAGCCAAATTTCGCAGATTGATATAATCTACACATTGGTTTTTAAATGGGACACCGTATACAGGGTGAGTTTTAAATAAGTGCAAATATTTTATTAGTGGTATATTTTGATCCCAGAAACAGGTCTATGAGGGAATTTTTGGCGATTTTTTTTCAAATTTTGTGTTTTTATTTTTACATTTGAAATTGTTTTAATTTTCTATGATAAATTTAGTGAAAGGAAAAAATAGAAATAATTCCAGTAGTTCTCGAAATTTGAGCAGTTTGTTTTTAATTTTCAAAGTAAAATAGGTCGGTTAGGCTGTAGCTATTTTGGACATATTTCGAAAACAATAAAGAGAATTATATTATTTTAATTGATATCTATCAACCCTGAAAATATTTGCACTTATTTAAGACTCACCCTATATATTAGAAGACCATGTACCGGGTGACCAACTAAGAATGAACGCCGGCTGTATCTGAGAAACTACTTATCGTATAACTTAATAATAAAGTATATCGATCAAGAGAAAGCCTGGAAATTATTTTCAACTTCGAAAAATGTCCGCTAGGGGACGCATCTATGATGGCCAATCAGAAAAAAAAATAGATTATACGGTATCTAGATTTTAAGTATTGCTATTGTAATCTGCGAAATATGTAATTTTTATTTAATAGAAAAAAAAATAGATATTACGCTTTTGAATACAATAATAAATAACAAGTTGTTTTATATACAGTTAAATAGAGCACAAAATTTCCAAAATATCAGCGTAAACCGCAGCTCTCTATCTTGTCTCTAACCGGAGATATTAAGAGGACAAATTATATTAGGCTGCCGCCCAAGATTATAAGGTCTAAAACTTATAGTAGTAGGCTAGAAAAACAAAAAGAGGTAAATTGGTTACGTCAAAATATCAAGACGTATATTTTAGTTTCATTTTAACGCTATTTAATTGTTCCATCCATGTTCGTTCTTGATTATAGATATTATAGATTATTAAGGTTAAACTTGACCTGCTATTTAGAAACATAACCGGTTATTTATGTTTCTATGCAATAGCGCAATAATATCTGTTATGATGTCAAACAGCGCCCTCTAACTACCGAGAAAATCTATGGAAACAACATTTTTACTGGAAATTATTAGGAAAGAAAAGCTCCTTAAAACGAGCCTTAGTTTGTTTAAATCGGCTAACCTAAATCAGAGTTATCCTTATTTTAGTAAAAGTTTAGTAAAAGAAAGTTTAACCTTCCCCACCACTTTATTTTACAAGATAGACTTTTCCCCATAATATAAGAAGACACATTTCCCCTTGATTTTTACTTTTATAATTTTTTACTAATTATTTAATATTGATATTGTGATTTTTGCTTCATCATAAATTATTATTATATTTGCTTTTATTATTGAATTTTTAGTTTAATTACAACATTTTTAAGGTAATTGCCGTAGTTAGTCAATCAAGCGATAAGGCTGAAAGTAAATACAATCCTGACGAGAGGCCATCGAAAGAAGACGAAGAAAGATACCAGAAGTTACTGTCAGATAATGAAGAACTACAACGATTAATTGCACAGGTAATTAAGCGTTCTTTGATAACCTTTGAAAACCAAACCTAGAAAATACGTTCTCACACTTTGTATTAATTTTCAGTCAAATTGAACAAAATTAAAACTAGCACTAACTATTTAGTATATGCATACTATCACTATATGTTATGGTCTTATTGTTATTCTGTACTAATCAGCTTCATTGAAAACATGTTCTCACATTTATTATTCATTTTGTAAAACTGAAAATGCTGAATATCTGAAAAAATACATTTTACAGAGAAATTACCATTAATTTAGTAATGTGGCTTTATGTTCGTAGAAAGAAGAACGAATTAAAGTACTCAGACACCGATTGCAAGAGCGTCAAAAGGGATCAGGCAGCAGCAAAACGATAGCAACCAATTCCGGTATACTGACCCAAGGTAAGGACACGCTGATAGTAGCTGACTTCATTACCGATGCTGGCACGTCGGACTCAGCTTTTGGAGGGTGTATTTCAGTCATCACCAGGTCGTCTAGGTGTAGTCAATCTGATATCGAGTTTAGTGATAGTTATCTGTAAATATTTGTTTGTATTATATGTAACTATAGTCTACCTAAAAAGAAAATATATAATTTTGACAGCCGACAGTTTTAAAAAATACACTAAACCATATATAGAGAACCTAATGGTCTGGAAAGCTCTATTTCAAGTTTCCTATTTGAATAACATTAATTTAGTTATTAATTTGAATTTAATCTATCAAGTGAAACATAACTCAAGAAATGGTGATTCAAGATTCCGTCTCTAACGCGTCTTTTTATTCAATGATTGTGAGAGAAACTAAAAATTAAAAAAAATCAATAGTTTAAAACACTGAAAAGAAACACTTTTTATAACCTGTGCAATCATTCCCCGTTTATTTTGTAAAATAAGATAAGTTAAATCTCAAAAAGGAAACGTATAACAGAACTTTTTCAGAACAGCTGATAACCCTATACTAAGGGCTGGCAAAGGTTAGTTTTAGGTCGAGATTTCCGTATGTAAGAAGAGTACAATGCATTTATAATGTACTGAACAAAGAGAGAACAGTAAAAACGTTGCCAAATCTATGAAATAAACCGAGAAATTGTGCACATTGCTAAGAGACTAGGAAAGGGATATAGCAGATTCGTCGCGGTCGACCCAATCAGTCACCAGTCAGTTCTTAAAATTCTAAGGATGGTTGTGCATCATGCATTCAGCTTCATGATTTAATTACGTCTCGTGGTACTTTATTTGATTATTTATTAACGAGTCGTTGTAATTTTCCCTATAGGCTTTGTGCATTCTCCGCCGGTGCTGCCACCATCGGAGAATATCGTAAACAACTTGTACTTACAAATAGACGGGTTTAAATAGCGAGAATACGAAAAATTTATTATTTAATTACTCTAAAAGTGTTGAAAATTTTAATTTTTATATTATATATATATTTATACTTTATATCGTTATAGAGAAAAATTGACACCGTAACGATATCCTTGTAATTCCATTTCAGATGCTCACAAACATATCTAATGATTTTATCTAGTTATCTCTTCGAAAAAGAAAGTCTTTTAAAAATAAGCGGTTTGCGATAGTGATTTTACTTTACCTATAGGGAACGGCGTACCGGAGAAATGTGGCAACGCCGCAACAGTACACCGTCGCATTTCTCTCACTCCGACTTAATAAGATCCCTATGCGATTTACTTCCACACATGTACCTAAATATCGACCCAAAAGTAAGAGTTGCTAGCACGGTATAATATTACGAGTACCTACATGGCAAATTTGACATTATTTTGTAAAATTTCCTAAACATTCGACTCTTTCAAATGATATACGTAATAATTATGCAATTATATTATTTGTCAATTTTTCAAAGGCTATAAAAAACGAGTATTTATCAATTACGCACATTCCTACAATCTCTATGAACATACACGTATATCGATATGGTAATTTTAAGTATTAGAAATAATCAAGCATTATACCTCATATAATTATAATAAACCTAACAACCTTCTTAAGCACTGAATTTCGTCGACCTAACTGAAACAAAGAATTAGAAATAATTGTAGACGTGCAAAAGAAAAATTTGTATATATTAATTATACGCACATTAATGGTTAACTTATCCCTTATTATAATTACGTCAATTACCCCTAAAATTAATATTTTTTAAGATACCTTTACCCAAAATTAATGTGTTAAGTGTTAAGATATTTTTTTATAGCCAATATACACCGTTTCCTACATTTTTCTACCATTGCCATGATTGCATGTAAAAATGACGCTAAATGTTAGTTAAAGCAGCTTGATATCAGGTTGACTGCAGCTGTCTAAACGCAGCTTAAAATCAGTGTTCGGCGGGTATTAGACTATAACATTTCTTTGTCAAAGATCTTTTATAAAAGACATTTTTTTAAAAATTTGACAGTGCTAATATATAATATTTTATAAAATCACACATATTACACTGTCGAATTCTTCATAAAATATATTTTAAATAAAATCTTTGAGACAAAGAAATTTGATAGTGTAATAGTAGTCTTGTTATATTAGTAAAATTATAAACATTTGTTAATTCACAGTTTAAAATTTTGGTTGTATACATAGACATGTATAAGAAATAGACTAACCATATAAACTCACCGGCAAAAAAAACCGGCCACTAAAAACTAGACTCAATTTCAAAGTTGGATTTTTCGCGAACCACTCACTAGATTTGGTGATTTTTTTGTTTAGATTTTAAATTAATATTCCTTCTTAACGGATGCTACGTCAGCAATTTTTATTCCGAATTTATTTTGAGCATATACAGAGCACAACAATAAGACGTTTTTCGCCCGAATTTTGTAACACCCTGTAGGGTGCAGCAGCGGTAGTAGCTATAGCTAAATTAAATCACATTGTATCCTCATCTTTTGTGAGCATTTTATTTTTTTAATCACCACATTATCTCTTTTTGTATTGGAGATATGATGTTTTAAAACGAACGTATCGGAAAAATGCTTCGCAGGCAGAAAGTTTTATCTATAAATAAGCAAGGCGACGACATAGGCGAAAACGGATTTATGAATATTTTCAATATGACAACATCGGTTGTCAAATTAAAAAATGCCATTATCTGTAACGGATGTTGCTCGTATTGTGGCTTTAATTGAGGATGGGCGAACTCAACGTTATGACTCCGAAACCCTGGGTATATTTCGAGCAACAGTCCAGGATGCCTGGAATCGGTATATGGAAACGGGAAAATTTCACCAGGCGAGTGGACACTAAATATTAATCCCTTAAAATTTCTTTACATAATTATTAATTTTCATGTTTTAGTTAGTTTTCAGATTAAACTTACCTACGTTCTGATGTTTGATTTGTTTTTAAAGCCTTTTTCGATGCGTTTGTTTTAAAACAGCGTATCTCCAATACAAACAGAGATAATCAAAATATGACAAAAAAAATCAAAATATGAGGCTGTTGTAGCCTCAAAAAATATGAGGCTACAATGTAATTTGATTTAGCAATAGCTACTACAGCTGCTGCACCCTACAGGGTGTGACAAAATACGGGCAAAAAACTTCGTCTTATTGTTGTGCCCTGTATATGCTCAAAATAAATTCGGAATAAAAATTGCTGACGTAGCATCCGTTAAGAAGGAATTAATTTACAATTTAAAAAATAAGTCATCAAAATCTAATGAGTGGTTTGCGAAAAATCCAAGTTTGAAATTTGGACTAGTTTTTAGTGGCCGGTTTTTTTGCCGGTGAGTGTATATTGATTTTTATTTTGACCAGCATATACAAGCAAAATGTAAACAAATTATTTAACTTTTCCTTTTTTCACAATTAATGTTCCACAAATTATAAACTTTTTACTTCCCAACGCTCAATTTTTTTTCAACAACACCAACAACAATTTTTTTTCAACGTTTAAGACTACAAACAATAGTCTCCCAACGTTCAAGATCAGATTTTTCATCAAAAAAACATACTAGGTGAAACTTGAAAATGTATGCAAAGGTATACAAAGCACAAATTACCAATCCTTAGCTTGTCAAAAAAAATTATACAAACATTTTTAAAAAATAATTGGCAAAGTAGATTTTTTCTGTTTGCATTTGGGTTGTATATCTTCGGTGCCTTTCCTTTTACTATAAGCTTTGTCTATTTATATTGAGCTTGTACATAACCAAAATTTAACGTTTTCTTACTTATATATACTTAGATTATAAATATTTTTTTTTTTTGTAAATGGAATGAGTAATTAGAATATTTCTCTAATAAGACCTATAAAATAAGAATAAATTATTTTTAGGAAATATTTTTAATTTTGTCACATCTATTGGTCAGTTAGATGTATATTTTCAGACATTTGGTTTTTATTCTACTAAAGTAGCAATACATCGATTTATATTATTATTATAACACTTCCATAAAATTGTTTACTTCTAAATTCTGGCTTTAGATTTTAATAGTAGAGTAGTGGTAGTAAAAAACCTGTAGTAGTTTTAGATTGTACTAAATTAGTAGAACCCAATCTCGTTATAACATAACCGTCAAAAGAAAAATATCATTATCTCCCAAGATACTCGTGTTCTATAAATATCAAGCTTTATTTTGTTATAGAAGTGTGTATCACACAATTTTAGCAAGCTAAGAAAGTATTGTACAATAATGAAGAATGTTTGGTTCTGGTTTATTTTTAATTTTAGATTTTTTTATTTAAATTTAAGTTTATGACAAGCTTTATTCATATTTCTATAGTTTTAGTGACAAAAATAACAATCGTTCTATATATCTCCTATTATTTCAAAACTAGCAAAGACAACTAATGTTAGAATCTATTTTTGTTTAAACGCAAGCAGCTTATATATAACTTGCTTGTTTTATTAGCTACTTTTGGTTAAAGAAAAAAATATCAGCAATCATCATAGCTAGTTAATGTATATTAAGGGCAATTAGGCATTTTACTGTAGAAAAATGTTAACTTAAAGTCAGAAACTTTATTTAATAATACGTTTAGAGAAAGATAATAACTCTAGAAATATAGCCACATAACCTACATATTTAAACAGTAAACTATTTTTTATTTTGTGTATTTTTTAGTTTCTAAATAATTCTTTTGAAGTACTATCATTTACATTACTTTTATACACTTAAAATTAAAATAATTTAAGTAGTTTAGTTTATTTCTTGAAAAAATCGTTAGTATTTGCACACTGAAATTAAAAAAAAACATGTTAACATGTTTTCTAAAATACCATAGCGTAGAATCCAAAACTGTTAACCCAGCCTGTTAACGACTTTTAAAAAAATTGTCTAACCTGTAAAAATGCTTCAAATTTTCTGGGGGTCTTTTTCTAACTGTCATTAGAAACAAAACACAAAATGAATGAAGAAAAACTCTTTGAAATATCTGTCACTATTAAAACTTTCTGATACTGACTCACATAATTATAAAATAAAACTTAATTAAATTCACAATTACCACCTAATGAAGTAAGACCAAAGAGCTTAAAATATTTTTATATGAAATATGTATTTTAATAAGAGTTATGTTGTAA